ATGGTGGAGAGGACGAGGGGACGAGGGAGTTTGGGATGGTGGGGACGACGGATGGGGGAATAGAGAATGGTGGGGAGGACAAAGGGACAGGGGAGTGTGGCATGGTGGGAAGAAAGAGGGGATGGTGGAGTGGGGAATGGTTGGGAGTCCGATGAGACGGGTGAGGAGAGAATGGTGGGTACGACTGGGGGGACAAGGAAGGTTGCTGTGGCTCAGTAACGCACATGCGTTTATATATATATATATATATATATATATATATATATATATATATATATATATATATATATATATGGTGTGTTTAATACAGACTTAAGAACATTTTGGGTGTTGGTGTACCCATTGGTGTGCATCATCCGCATAGTTAATAATGTGTTCGCCTGGCCTGGTCACTGAGTTCAGAAGTGCATTATCACATTAAACAGAGTAGGACCGAGGACAATTCCCTGTTGAATGCCCAGTTCAAATTCTCTTGTAACACTCGTATGTCCTTCAAACAGTAGAGATGACTTTGTGTTGGATATATAGCCTCTTATCCACAGTTGAAGCCATCCATAGGGAGCCGGTCGGCCGAGCGGACAGCACGCTGGACTTGTGATCCTGTGGTCCTGGGTTCGATCCCAGGCGCCGGCGAGAAACAATGGGCAGAGTTTCTATCACCCTATGCCCCTGTTACCTAGCAGTAAAATAGGTACCTGGGTGTTTGTCAGCTGTCACGGGCTGCTTCTTAGGGGTGGAGGCCTGGTCAAGGATCGGGCCGCGGGGACACTAAAGCCCCGAAATCATCTCAAGATAACCTCAAGAGATCCCCTATCATTCATTTTAGCAAGTTCGCTCAGAATGACGTGTCAGTTACCAGTGTCAAAGGCTGACTTAATACCTAATATCTGGGGGAGATAAAAAGTTTCTAATTCTATACAGCAGACTGTTTAGAACTATCCTCTCAAGACACGAAAACGACTAGTGAGGAAAATTGGGAAAAAAAGCACTGCTGGTTGGGTTTAGGAATGAGAATAATGAGGCAGTTGAATCCATGAATCTGCAAGCTCCTCATTCACATAGCTCATGCTATACAAATCAAGCAAAGGCTTTCCTATTACAAGCTGAAGCATATGTAGTGTGACTTAAGTAATTCTATTCTCCCAGGGAGCTGAAGCTTTCCTTAATGTAGGACAGAGTCCAGTTTATATTCAGTGAAAAGCCTCTCACAGTCACGCTCCTGATAAGGCATGAAGTCGAGGAGCCATGCTCTAGATCACAGTGATATATCGCCGTACTGTATTATGTTCCAGAGAGCCTGGCAGTTGTATCTGCCATGTACCAGTGACACAGGCAGTTGTATTTGCCATGTTCCAGAGAGCCTGGCAGTTGTATTTGCCATCTCCCAGAGACCCTGGCAATTGTATTTGCCATGTACCAGTGACACAGGCAGTTGTATTTGCCATGTTCCAGAGAGCCTGGCAGTTGTATTTGCCATCTCCCAGAGACCCTGGCAATTGTATTTGCCATGTACCAGTGACACAGGCAGTTGTATTTGCCATGTTCCGTTGACACTGCCAGTTGTATTTGCCATGTCCCAGAGACTCTGGCAGTTGTATCTGCCATGCCACAGAGACCCTGCCAGTTGTATCTGCCTTGCAACACAGACCCTGCCAGTTGTATCTGCCATGTCACAGAGACCCTGCCAGTTGTATCTGCCATGCCACAGAGACCAGGCCAGTTGTATCTGCCTTGTCCCAGTGACCCTGCCTGTTGTATCTGCCTTGCCACAGAGACCCTGCCAGTTGTATCTGCCTTGCCACACAGACCCTGCCAGTTGTATCTGCCATGCCACACAGGCCCTGCCAGTTGTATCTGCCTTGCCACAGAGACCCTGCCAGTTGTATCTGCCATGCCACAGAGACCCTGCCAGTTGTATCTGCCATGCCACAGAGACCCTGCCAGTTGTATCTGCCATGCCACAGAGACCCTGCCAGTTGTATCTGCCATGCCACACAGACCCTGCCAGTTGTATCTGCCATGCCACAGAGACCCTGCCAGTTGTATCTGCCTTGCCACAGAGACCCTGCCAGTTGTATCTGCCTTGCCACACAGACCCTGCCAGTTGTATCTGCCATGCCACACAGACCCTGCCAGTTGTATCTGCCATGCCACACAGACCCTGCCAGTTGTATCTGCCATGCCACAGAGACCCTGCCAGTTGTATCTGCCTTGCCACAGAGACCCTGCCAGTTGTATCTGCCTTGCCACACAGACCCTGCCAGTTGTATCTGCCTTGCCACACAGACCCTGCCAGTTGTATCTGCCATGCCACAGAGACCCTGCCAGTTGTATCTGCCATGCCACACAGACCCTGCCAGTTGTATCTGCCATGCCACAGAGACCCTGCCAGTTGTATCTGCCTTGCCACAGAGACCCTGCCAGTTGTATCTGCCTTGCCACAGAGACCCTGCCAGTTGTATCTGCCTTGCCACACAGACCCTGCCAGTTGTATCTGCCATGCCACAGAGACCCTGCCAGTTGTATCTGCCATGCCACAGAGACCCTGCCAGTTGTATCTGCCTTGCCACAGAGACCCTGCCAGTTGTATCTGCCTTGCCACACAGACCCTGCCAGTTGTATCTGCCTTGCCACACAGGCCCTGCCAGTTGTATCTGCCATGCCACAGAGACCATGCCAGTTGTATCTGCCTTGCCACAGAGATCATGCCAGTTGTATCTGCCTTGCCACAGAGATCATGCCAGTTGTATCTGCCTTGCCACAGAGATCATGCCAGTTGTATCTGCCTTGCCACAGAGATCATGCCAGTTGTATCTGCCTTGCCACAGAGATCATGCCAGTTGTATCTGCCTTGCCACAGAGATCATGCCAGTTGTATCTGCCTTGCCACAGAGATCATGCCAGTTGTATCTGCCTTGCCACAGAGATCATGCCAGTTGTATCTGCCTTGCCACAGAGATCCTGCCAGTTGTATCTGCCTTGCCACAGAGACCCTGCCAGTTGTATCTGCCTTGCCACACAGACCATGCCAGTTGTATCTGTCTTGCCACAGAGACCCTGCCAGTTGTATCTGCCATGCCACAGAGACCCTGCCAGTTGTATCTGCCTTGCCACAGAGACCCTGCCAGCTGTATCTGCCTTGCCACAGAGACCCTGCCAGTTGTATCTGCCTTGCCACAGAGATCATGCCAGTTGTATCTGCCTTGCCACACAGGCCCTGCCAGTTGTATCTGCCTTGCCACAGAGACCCTGCCAGTTGTATCTGCCTTGCCACAGAGACCCTGCCAGTTGTATCTGCCTTGCCACAGAGACCCTGCCAGTTGTATCTGCCTTGCCACAGAGACCCTGCCAGTTGTATCTGCCTTGCCACAGAGACCCTGCCAGTTGTATCTGCCTTGCCACAGAGACCCTGCCAGTTGTATCTGCCTTGCCACAGAGACCCTGCTTGAGACGTTAGAAAGCTTTCTCTTAGCATAAAGGTAAATGGAATGACATAAAGGAGCAAGTTATAAAGGTTAACTCAATTCACAACTTTAAAGGTAGGTATGATAGGGAAGTTAGTCAGGAGTCATTGTGTTAGACAACTGGCAGCAAGCAAATAGGGGTCCAAGAGGTACAGCTCGATCTTGCAAGCACAAATAGGCGAGTATAAACACACACACACACACACACACACACACACACACACACACACACACACACACACACACACACACCCGACAGAAGTGCACACATACACTTACACACACACACACACACACCAGACAGAAGTGCACACATACACTTATACAAACACAAACACACACACACACACACACACACACACACACACACACACACACACACACACACACACACACACACACACACAACAGACAGAAGTGCACACATACACTAGCACAGACACACGTAAGTACAAATACACAAACACCATACAGAAGTGCACACACACACACAGACACACACGAGAAATACAAGCACACACCAGACAGATAAAGCACAGCAAGAACACACACACCACAACAATAACCAAATTAGCCTCTCCAGAGGATAAGACAACTTTTATAGACCTAAAAAAAAAAAAAAAAGCACAAACACCACACAACAACAGTCTAGACGGCCATAGCTGTGCCTTCCTCTCACACAGCTTGCCCCCCCCCCCTCTCCTTCTTCCCCCTTCCCACACACATAGGTCGTCATTCCTATTCTTGCTCAAGTAACAACGACCTTATAGTTTAACACACTCTTGCTTTACTGGTGATTTCAAACATGTCAAAGGCATCATAAATTTTGTCCTATTTCACCGATTATTGAAATAACAAAATAGGATTGCCATCATCTAAATAAAATTGATTTCTTCTAAATAAAAAAAATTGCTTTAGAAGCAATTTACAATCAACTATACAAGCAGACGAGGCACATAGTCCCTTGTTTCCCCCAGTACCCTTGTTCTTAAGGGTCATCTTCCCTTTCGTTTGATCGACAAGTGCAGTATTATACGGCTATTTAATGACCTTGACGCCCCTCTTCCTCCAACGTCGAGGTACATAGGAGTCATTTTCTGCCTTGATACGGACAGCCGAACCACCTCTATATCCACCACAAATGGACATAGGCCACTCTTCCACGCACCTATATTCGTAAGGATCACCTTCCTCCTCATTCTCTCAGCACGAGCGACCTTAAACGACCATGAAGAGGCCATAATGCACTATGTGCGTTAGGTCCTTAAGGGTCAGTTTCCCCTCTTCTTTGCAGCAGGAGAGCGACCTTACGGCCAGTGACCCCTCGTGGCTGACCTTTACTAGGCTGCAAGAACTATAAGGAGGGTTTCAGACGCCGCCAACAGGGAGATGGGCTGCAGGGAGGCTTCATAAACAGGGGCTTCATAACCAGAGGCTTCATATGAAGGGGCTTCATAAACAGAGGCTTCATAAACAGGGGCTTCACAAGAAGGGGCTTCACAAGGGGCTTCATAAACAGAGGCTTCATAAGAGGCTTCATAAGAAGGGATATTCATAAACAGGGGCTTCACAAGAAGGGGCTTCATAAACAGGGGCTTCATAAACAGAGGCTTCATAACCAGAGGCTTCATAAGAAGGGGCTTCATAAACAGAGGCTTCACAAGAAGGGGCTTCATAAACAGAGGTTTCATAAGAAGGGGCTTCATAAACAGAGGCTTCACAAGAAGGGGCTTCATAAACAGAGGCTTCATAAGAAGGGGCTTCATAAACAGAGGCTTCATAAACAGAGGCTTCATAAACAGGGACTTCATAAACAGAGGCTTCATAAGAAGGGGCTTCATAAACAGGGGCTTCACAAGAAGGGGCTTCATAAACAGAGGCTTCACAAGAAGGGGCTTCATAAACAGAGGCTTCATAAGAAGAGGCTTCATAAGGGGCTTCATAAACAGAGGCTTCACAAGAAGGGGCTTCATAAACAGAGGTTTCATAAGAAGGGGCTTCATAAACAGAGGCTTCATAAAAAGAGGCTTCATAACCAGAGGCTTCATAAGAAGGGGCTTCATAAACAGAGGCTTCATAAGAAGAGGCTTCATAAGAAGGGGCTTCATAACCAGAGGCTTCATAAGAAGGGGCTTCATAAACAGAGGCTTCATAAACAGAGGCTTCATAAGAAGAGGCTTCATAAGAAGGGGCTTCATAAACAGAGGCTTCATAAAGAGGCTTCATAAGAAGGGGCTTCACAAGAAGGGGCTTCATAAACAGAGGCTTCACAAGAAGGGGCTTCATAAACAGGGGCTTCATAAACAAAGGCTTCATTAACAGAGGCTGTGTAAACAAAGCCACGT